GTTGCCAAAAGCCATGTCCCCCTGCAGCCCCAGGTGACAAGAATACTGAATATTTCAACTTCCCACAATCATTTAGTGACTACAGGGTAGGCATTTCAATTCCTCACACCTATTTAGTGAGTGTAAAGGAGACGGGGAGCATTGCATCTCCTTACGGGTATTTAGTGAATGTAGGGGGCATTTCACTCCTACCCACTGGAAGACCCCAAATAGTCAAAGATTTGCAGATGGGGAGGGCAGAGGCTTGGAGGAAGCAGCTGGAGGTGGCTGCGCTGAGGGCAAGCCAAGGGTGGCCACGTCTTGCCTGGTGCGCCAAGATAAAACTTGGTGATCTTCCAAGAAAACATCAAAATGCCAGGAGCAGGAGATGGTACCTGCCTTGAGGCCAGGTAGGGAAGGGATCAGGAGAGGCTTGCAACAGGCAGGAGCCAAGAAATCACCTTGGGACACCAAAATTGATCTCTAACCTCCAATAGCCCACAGGTCAGGGCTTAAAACACAAGGCTCCCTGTGTGGCTAAGAGGTCTCCAAACCCCTGGCTTAGTAGGAGAATCATAACTAAGCTAGAGAAGAGTCAGCAGTGGAACAGCGGAAGGACAGCAGAAAAACTCATGTCCCTTTTCTGGCCCCCATCATCTTCTCTATGCACTTCATGAAGACTGAGGAAGGCCACAAGATAAAGCAAAAGGACAATAGTAGGTACAATTAACAGACAAATTTCCTAAAAAAAAAAAAAGGAAAAAAAAAAAGAACCAGCAGCAGCTGTGGGCAATTGTACACCAGGCTCTGGGGTTCTTGCAGGACAGGTCCCTTCCAACCTTAAACATTCCATGATTCTATGATTCTATGAAGAAACGCGGTTCTTCTGCCTCATGAATCCACCCGGGCATGGCCCCACTGTGGACATGGCTCCCCAGCTTGTAGAATGGAGCAGCCCCATCTGAGTCATTCCCAGTGTCTTTGGCGGAAAAAATAAGGAGAAATGTTGGCTTGCAAAGAGGAAGAACCTGAAATACTTCCAGATTTATCTGGGGGAGGAGAAGCCCTTGGGCAGAGAGCTCCTGCAGTGTCTCCCGGTGTCTTTAGGGCATCAAATCCCTGTCTGCCCTTGCTCAACTCAAGGTTTTGTTGCTAATATCTGACTGAAAGGCCAGTGCTCAACACATCAACACCTGAGGCCCCCAGGGACACGTGAATTGCTGCAAAGCGGTTACCCAAAGGACAATATTGCCATTGGGATCATAAGTGGTGGCAATGCTGATGCTGGCCAGATCCAGGACAATCCTGGCACATTGTGCCCAAGTTTGCAGACAGCCTCGACCTTCAGAGTCCTTCCAGGGAGCAGAATTGGAGGGGCTGTTTCGGTAACAGGGTTACCTCCTGACTGCAAAGCAAGGCACGGGGCAGCAAAGTGTGTTTTCCCCATGTCCTTCTTCCCCTGGGAGGTGGTGAAGAACCCCAAGAGAAAGCACATCCCAATAGAGCAATGAGCAGCAGCTTTTACAACAAGTCTATTAAAAAAAATAGTAAAAAAAGAGAGGGTATTTTCAGCCTCCCTACATGAGTGAAACCTCTTGGGAAATCACTGAGCGATTTTGGCTATTGAAGGCAGAGCAGGGCCACCAAGTAAACCCATTCGTGCAAGGGGAGTGCCCTGTGTCTGTCAGTCTCCCACTCACATTGGCACAACATCAGACTAACTCTGCTTCTTTTTTCTCCCCCAAGAAATATCACAGTGGAAAAGTAGCTTCTGACTTGGAATTACATCATCACTGATTAATCACACAGCCAAAGAAATGCCCCACGTGGCAGCCGACACCGCAAATCTGAAGAGCGCAAGAAGGGGACGTTTCCTAATGGTGCTTCAGTGACTCTGGAGCCAGATATTGAAAGAGCATTTGAACCATCTCCAGGAGGGGACAAGAACCTCTTCAGGTTGTGAAGGCACCTAAACTTGCAAGAGGTTTTGGGCAGCCACATTAGGAAACCCCACGATAACCCTGCCTCAGCTTCTTGCCAGCATCTTCACATTTGCCTGTTTCTGGTTTTACCCATTACACTGATTAAAAAAAGGCTTGAGAAAGAGATTGAAGCTGCACAGACAAAATTAAATTACCGTCGGAAGGAAACGTTAGGAGGCCCTTTTAAATGGCAGTGCAGGGAATGGGAAGCTTGGACCTAACGGCTGGTTTGATAAACAAACCAGGAGGCTCCCACAACCCACCAGCGGTTTGATGAACACACACCATCATTCCTCTTATCTCTTCTTGTCTTCCAATTTCCTACCAGTTGCCCTGGAAACTCCCTCATTACATAATTCATGGGAGCAAAGTCCAGCAGAAGCAAGCCCAGTCAAAACGGCTCCATGATGACTAAAGCTCCCTGCAAAGAGATGCCATAATTCGATTATTTCAAAATAAGCCTTTTCTGGGCAAACTTGCTGCAGCTCCAGGTATCACTCCCACATGCCGCAGAGCTCATCCTGCAAATGCTGGTGGATGAGGTTGCAGCCCATGTTCAACCTCATGTGGCGTGGTGGACCTGAGTGGCTTCATCCTCCTGGGCATCCTTGGGCAGAGAGGGATGGCTGCAATGGCAAGCACCATCTCCAAGCGTGTCCTTCACACAAGGACCATGCACGTTATTTCTCCTACATAGGGATGGTTTTACAAGGGGATAACACAAAACCTGCTGGAGGGCTGGAGGAACCTCTCATGGGACCCCAGCTGCTTTTTGAACCAGGGCCCCGAGCTTGCTCATAACCTTGTTGGATGGTTGTAATTAATCCTCCAAGAGAGCAGACTCTAGCTGGGCCAGGGAGAGGAAACACATCACCCCAGGAGGAAGAAGGAGCCATCCCCACAGTGGTGCATTGCCCCATAGGGCACACACGGCCTGAGGGATGGGTGCAGCCCTGAGAACAGCAGGGTTTGTCCTGGGGAACGTGGTTATCCAGAGTTCGGATGCAGCTTTCATGCCTCTGGCTCAAACCTACCCCAACTTGAGAGCTGGCCAGACCAGGCCAGCTGGTGGCTCAGGTGGCCTTTAGGTAGGACGCAGTTCAGATGGACATCTCAGGGACCTGCTCAAGACAACGACAGGCAGGCTCTACCCTGCCTCCAGGCTGTCAATCCTATCCAGCTTGCTTATTTTCTCCCAGGCAGCAAGGCCGAGGAGCTGGGGGTTTGCAGCTCCTCACACCTCCCACACGCAGCAGGCCCAGGAAATACCACACACGTGCAAAGCAGGATGAGCGCTCAGCTGCTCTCACACGCATCCCCTGCACGCCAACAGCGACACAGGACAAGGGACAGGAGATCAGGTCGGGAACACGAAGGGCAGACCTAGATCTGTATGGAAAAAAGATAAATTTTATACATATGTAACCTGCATAAACCAGATAAATTATATACATATACATCAAAGTGCTGGTTGGGGTCCAGCACTAGCAAAGAGGCAGAGATACGGCCAGAGACAAGACCAACGTGGAGGTCCAAGCGAAGAAGGCAGCAATGACCAGGCATTTCTAAATTACATTTAAATGTAATTTAAATCAGAATGGTTGTGCCTAAGTGCAGTTGATTTAATAAGTCAGTACATGTACTTCCATACATGTGTTTCTCTTTCCTTGCAGGCAGAATGACAGCAAGTGATACCGCTCCCAAAATTGGGATAAAACCGCATTCGGAGAGGGTGGTGCTGAGCTCCATCTAGAAATACCACTTTTAGCCCTGGTGTATGCCAGGCATACGAGTCATGCTCACTATTTCCTGGCAATGCTTTGAACAACGGCTGCAGCCACTGAGATCTCCGAGATCTCCGTCCTAAAGGAGGAGGATGCAACCCCCAGCACTGCTAATAAAGGCTCCTGCCATTTTGCACTCTATTTCTCTCTGTCAGGGGTATTTCATTTGTCCGTGTGTTGAAAGTTCAATCCTGTACCTACGCATATTCCCAGAGCATGAATTTTCAATGCCAGGCAAAGGAAAAATACAGCACTGAGGTCAGCAGAAAATACTCCGTGGATCTAAGTATATGAAGTGACAGTATTATAAAACGGAACCATTTGTGAAGCATTTGTCCCATTAAGGTTTCCATACATAGAACAGAATAACAAGGAATCTCTCATTTGGAAGCAGAGAGCATAAATAAGGACATTAATAATGTAAGAGGGCAATAGAAATGCTGCAACCACAGACCTTTGCTTAGAAGGGAATCAGGGCAGTAGCTGCATCCTGGGCAAATTAATACTTCAGCTCCCCAGATGTCTGCAAAGCCTTTTACAGAGCTGCACTAATTGGAAAAAAAAAAAAAAAGGGGGGGGAAAAGAGCAATCCTAGAGGTTCATTCTCATGTTTACAACACAAGGCAACTATGTCTCTTTTGCAACCTCAGCACAGGCTAAAGGAGAGACATCCCCCTCTCTACACACACCGAACCCTCAAATCCCCCTTGCCCCGTGAGGCCTGGGGTCCCGATCACCGCTGCCTCCCCCGAGCCAAGGCAGCTGCTGAGGAGATTAACACAGAATCATGTCAAGTAACAAACACCTAGTATTTATTAATAAATTAGTACACTGGAAGGCAATGTTTCAATTCATTCCCCTCTTCCCCCCGACTCCCACCCCCTGCCCCAAAAGGTAGCACATGCCACCCTAATATCATAATTTCTTCAAATTGAGCATATTACAGACTGTTCATTACGGGAGCATAATAGTTGCAAATATAATCAGACTTCTTACGATGCAGCTTTTTTTTTTTTTCTCTTTTCATTTAATAAAAAGTGAAGTGTGATCTGAAGAGACTATTGAGACCAGGTAGGGCCTTCAGAGCACCTAACCTACTGGCCGTGTCTGTATAAAAAAAAAAAAAAAAACAAGAGACACAAGTGTAAAAGCAGAGCTTGGTAAGTCTTACACCACAAGGAGAGCAGTACCACCAGCGGTTGCCTTCACCTCCCAAAGTCCAGCACCAGTGCTGATTGCAACAATTTATTTAGGGCCTGCTGTTCTCTTAAGTGGCAAGGCAAGATACTCCTCGTTTGGGTTACATTCGACCGCAGGCAAAGGGCCATTTTATAATCTTGAAGGTTGGTGGAACTGAACCTCTTAATTTCATTAAAACACTTCTGCTTTAGCTTATAGGAGCACAATGCGTTGTCCAGGTGAAACCATACAATAAATAACCGTGCTAGTAAAATTTCAGCAATGAACATGAGCTATACAATAGTACATTAAAAAAGTCAACTTGGGGGAAGCTAGACGCATTAGAGAAGGTAACAGCAACAATCAGTTTTGCATGGTTTACCATTTACCACTCCAAGGCAGAAGGGAGGTAGCAGGAGAGAGCCATTCAGAATAACAGTTTTGACAGAACTGAAATGTGTTACAGAGTGATCCCCGATTCAATGTATAAATTACACCAGATTTGTGGTCTTCTAGTTCATTAACTGCATTTTAAAGTGCATTGACTGATCCGATTGGAAGGAGAGCAAGAAAAGAAAGACTCGGAAGGGAGCAGAGGGTGCAAAGACTTTAATTGAGCAATAGTTAAGGTTGAAAGGTGCAATGCTCGCAAACTGTCCCCCTCCAGAAACCAACGACACCTCAAAGAAAATACTGGCCATGTATTCTACAACAAAACCTGTCTGCATATTGTCGATCATCTTAACGAGTGCCAAGCTAGTTCTAGCAGATATTCGAGAGTGCGTGGTGACCAATGCCTACAGTAAGTCGGGAAGGTGGCTATAGACAGAGTCCAGGAGGGTCTGGCTGGCTTCCTGGCTCTTGACTCCGGCGATCTCAAATAGCCTGTCCAGCTTGTCTTCGGCTTGTGGGATCTCCTCGATGACGTGGAGCTCCTCGGGGTTCAGGATGTGCAGCATGTCATCGAAGATGGGCTGCAGGTCGCAGGGGTCCAAGCGCACCTGGCGCAAGACGGTGTCCTTCTTTTCTGTGGGAGCAAGGAGAGGCTGGGTGTTAAGGGGCTCCTCAGAAGACCCCTGCTAACTAGGACTTGTTCACCCTGGAGATCCAGGTCCGTTCCCTGCTGATTTACCACAAAGAGACACCAGGAAAAAGGAGAGTGGCAGCATGTGATAAGGAAGGGGAGAGGACAGAGAAGCTACAGCTGCAGCAATGCTGTAGAGCTGCCTAACCCAGGATCCTGCTGTAGCAAATACACTGTTTAGAAACGCTGAATGGCCAATATTAAAAGCTAAGGAGGAAGGTGGAGTGAAGCCAAAAAGGCTGAACATTTTGAGTTATTTTCATTGGATCAGGTTCATTTTTGCACCAAAGTATAAACTAGGCAAAATGGTTGAGCTTCGTGTTTCACCTTCATCAAAAGTTGAAGATTATTCACAGCAAATCAAATGCAGTAAGTTAACTCCCCTCGAAACACGGCAAATTAACAGTGATTTACACTGCAAGTCACACACTGCAGTAGGCAGGACTACGGGTGAGAAATCAATCTTGAAGCCATGCTCTTCTGCTTTAATCTCATGCAATAAGCCTTGGGAAGGAGGGACTTCACTCCCAGGGAGCTTGGGGGATCGTGATAACCCAGCTAACGGCAGAGGAGAAACCCTCCCTGCTTTTGCAAGGGAAGCTGCGGACATCTAGAGAGGCCACGTTCCTCCAGCAGCATTTCAAAGGGTTAAAAATCTTTAAAGACCTTTTCCCTCTCTAATCTCTATTATGCTCCCTACCAGGATATTCATGGTCTCCAATCAGGATGCGATAAAGCGTATGTGGAAAGTCTTTTACCTTAATGAGGTGACATTACCATTACGGTGCCGCTGCTCATGAGGCGGCTCTAGGGCACATGGAGGTGACTGGAGGTGACCGCCCTCCAGGCCTTGCTCCTCCCGCTCTCCCCCGCGCCCCAAGCAAGCCCTGGTACCTTTGGTAATGAAAGAGCCCGTGCGGCTGAGCGCGGAGGAGCCGCTGGACGTGGAGTCGCAGCGCAGCAGGGGCTCCGACTCGTCCACGAAGAAGCACTTCTTCTCCGACGGAGAGGGCTCCACGGTGAGGGTGGCCGCCTCGGGGGGCTTCGGCGCGGGGCTGGCCGTGGGGCTGAGCGGGCTGGGGCTCACCGGGAGCGCCAGCTTGTCAGGTTCCAGCTGCGGAGAAGATGTTGGGAGACGTGACCCATGGGGACGTTACGTGGTGAGCTCGTGCTCAACAACACCTGCATCCCGGCGGGAATCAGGTGCAACAGCAGCTCCCAGGCTTTCAAATCCATCTGATCTTGCCCTTGGGAACACACTGCCCCATGCAAATGCCGTCTATGGAGAGCGTCCTCCAAGGTAGCCTGCAGTCTTTGCTCCCCAAAGCCCCCTTCTCCAAGCCAGCGCTCCACAAAGGAGGCACCAGAAGAGAGTCAGAGGTGGAAACCATTCCTACCATTCAGCACACCACTATTCAACAACCACGTGAGGAAAGTGACCTAGACTCTTGACAGCATCACATACACAACCATAGGAGAGTATTATCGCTTGGTTTTCATTGTTGTGTTTAGGGAAAAAGTCACTAAAGCCTAAAGTTTAACTGTTGGGCACTTGGAGCCATGATCATCAAGCAGATGACCCTCTTTTCAGCTCCCCAAGAGCATCCGGGTGTTTTCATACATCAGAGGGTTGGGTATGGACAACTAGCTTCAACTCAATCACGTCATGATACCCCTTGTGCTCACAGTAAGGGCTGGTGAAGGTTAGTGAGATCCTCTCTTGCTCTAGACATGCCCTAGACATACTCTACCATCCCCTACATGTGATTTGAGGAGGGCACAAGAGCTTGAGCAACCCCTCAAGCACCACCTTGGCCAGGACACACATTCCTAAACCAAAACCTCTCCTGAGGAGACCACGGAGCTCACACCTCATTGCTCCCAGTAACACCACCACACAGGTCAAGCGGAGGATTAAAACTGTTCCCATATTTATCATTTCACAAGCATAAAACAGCAAAGGCTGGAAGGCGGGAAACGCAGCACCCCTTGGGAATTTCCATTGCAGCACGCTTGGTTTAGGAGAGCAGGGCTGCTCAACCATCTCCAAAGGTCTATGACGCCAGTTTTCCACGCGTCACTGGGATTTAAGCTTCCTTGGGGGCACAACGCTCCGGATTACACCTGCCCTGCGACGGCACCAGTGCGACCCAGGGGGATTTTGCTGCCAACATGCCCAAGGGACAGAAACGATGCGTCACACATCCCCTCAGAGGCACTTATGTTGACCACAGCTTAACCGGCTTTTCGATGTCAAGCCACATTCCCAGTTAATAATTTATTTGACCCATCTTGTCCAGGCTCCCGTAAGCACAAGGTGAACATGTAACTCTGGCCCACCTGACTCCAAGGTTGGAAAGAATAACCAGGAAGCATAAGCTCAGGGCCTTCGGTTTTGACCAGTAATCACCAACCTGATCACAAGCCCAATGCCCTTCCAAATCTCTCAGCATCACCTTGGGCATGGCAAACCCCAAGAATACAACATTTCTGGTTTCCACCATCCCACGTAGGTCTACAGGTGAGACAGACCTGGGGAAATATCGTGGGTCAGCACCTCTGACACTGCTGCAGGAGTCCTGCCATCTCCTGCTCTGGGTGGACCGCTCCAAGCAGCATCACTGAACCTTTAAACTCTTCCCCTCCTTACCCCATCTATCCAAGAGCAGCATTGAGAGCCATTCCCACACACAACAAACTTTCTCCCAATCTCTAGGCAGTACCGGAGAGCAGAGCACATTCCAAGCACGTATCCCAAGGGAATCCATCCCAAATTCGCTCCACGCGGCTCTTCCGCGCTCTGGCGTGTGCATGGACATCGTGGCGCATTCCTCATCCACCCCGAGGAATTTGCCACCCACAGAGGGTGTGGGTGGCCACCTCACGTGGCCACCGAGATGCCCAGCAGTTCCCATTAACTTAACATTTCAGTCCATTTCAGCCTGCTTGTGGCAAAATAAAAGGGTTTTTTTCTTTTATCTGAAAATTAGAAGGGAGGATTTGTTCTGCTTCGCCATGTTATGTAATACGCATGGCAAAAATACAAACCAGTGTTAACTCTTAATTAAAAGAATCTGCATTCCCCTCCAAAGTTCCCTTTTCAATACAATTCATCGACAAGAATTAGGCTGTTGTCATTAACGGGGAAGAAAGCAGCAAGCGAAGAGCCAGAATAGCAACTGGATACTTCCCAAGCGGCAAGATTCTGTGATTTCCCCTTTAAAAATAAACAGACTTTAGAGGTTAGTTTTTCCCCATGCGATCCATCCATTTACTCTCCAGTCACAGCCTAGCTCCTGATCTCCAAAAATGGCCTCAGCCACATGGAAAAAGTACCTGGAGGGCATGAAAAACCCCCACTGCCCTTTCCTTGCTTTCCAAGCAGAGGGAAAAACACTTCCCAGAAGAAACGGGCAAGTTATTCGGCGTTTAATTAAACAGCTGCTAAAGCACTCTAGAAAATCACCTAGGGTTATTTCTCGACTGTAGGCGTCCTTGGAGCTCAGAGCGTTCCAAAGAGCTGAACATTTGTTAGCTTATTAAGCAAAGTAAACAGGATGCTTGAACGGGTGTTAATATTTAAACTGAGGGAAGAAAGCAAAGGGGAACACCGCAGGGTTTTGAAAGGCTAGGGAAAGTAAAAGGTTGCTTTGAGGTAAAGCCTAGGGAATAGGTGCAAAAACACTATTCATATCGTGTGACTCATTTGCTTGAAACCACTGGGGCTCTTTTTTAGGAACTCCAATGCTGGAGCAAAGTGATGGGAGCTCCAAAGCAGGGGGAAAAAGCCTCCTGCCTGCAGTGCTTTTGCAGCACTGATCCCTGAAGGCAGCGGGGCTGGTGGTGGAAAGTCAGTGATTTGGAGCTCCTCCAACGCTGGCTTTCTGCAGATACCTTATTTCTCACGCGGTGAGCCCTGTGTTCGCCACGGCAGCTGAATCTGCAAATATACGAGGTCCTTAGGTGCACTGTACGTCCCAAGTACAGCAGGACTCCCTGGGCCTGTCCCCAGCGGGGAGAACCTGCAATGCTGTCACCTGGCAAGAAGTTAACGGTTTTCAGCCCAAAAAACAAGCACACGAGCTCTGCTGCATCGGCAGCCTCCTGCAAGGAAGCGTCGCTCGAGCGCACCAGGGCGCGCGGCCAATATTTTTTTTTGGATCGCTGCAGTAGGAGATTTGCAAGGCTAAAAAGAACCCTTAAAGACTCCTGTGTATTCACAGCCCTTTAGGATGCCGGCCCCAATGGCAACATTTTGGTTCCTAAATGCAGTCTGGGTTTGGTCTGGAAGGGTGCTCTGAACAGGAGGATTTGAGGAGGCTCTTCCTAAAAGCCTTCGGGGAGGGAGAAAAAGGGACGGATTGAAAAAAAAAAAAAAAAAAAGGACGTAGACTTTTAACTCCCTTGAACTGGCGAGTCCCTTATCCTGGTTAGAAAGGGCTTGTCTTAACTTTATTGCACGTCAATAAAAGCCCAACCTGGATAAACAAACTGCCACGACTGCACTAACGTTCAGCCGGATCGGTTGTGGGAATTAAGAAGAAATTAAAAATCCTCCTTGAATGAAACGTCCTGGTCGTTCTTCCTGCAATAACAGCAGCGATAAGAGCCGTGGAGATCAAACAGCACAACCCAAAACAAAGTTATCAGCGTGGGCCCTGGCAGGTCTCTCCAGCTGCTACCTCACCCGTTCAGAATAACCCTTGGAAGTCATTTATGGAGCTGACGAATCCACCTTGAGAGCAGCCACCGACGACGAGGGCGGCGCGACCGGGCGGCGCCCTTGGCGTGGACGGGCAGAGGGCAGGAGGAGTTGGCCGGGCCAAGGCCGGCGCCTGCCAGCCCCGCGCGCGGCCCCGGCCGCCCTTTCTCCTCCCTTGACTGCAGCAGGGCCGCCTGCAGCACACGAGGTGTCTGGCAGCTACTCCTAGACTTCTTATTAAGCCCAGGAGCAGCGTTTAAAGGCACCGGGCAGGGCCACCACCTGCAAAGCGGGGCTCTGAAACGCTGCAGACCATTAGCTGCACCAGCGCAGGGACCTGGCAAGAGCCCCCGCGCGCCAGCGGCCACCGAGCGCTCCCGCATCAATGCTAACCCCGGTCCCACCACATACCGACCTCCTGCAAGCCTTTCCAGGAGGAATAATAATAAAAACAGCAGGGTTTTGCAAGCAAAATGGCAGGGAAATGCTATGTGAGCTGGGTAGGTTTTCCTGCCCAACATCAACGCAAATGAAACAGCTGCTGTTTTTAAGAGGGGGGATTAGCGGAGGCTGCGGGCAGAGGCGAAACCTCTCCGGAGGGAGGTTTTTACGGTCACCAGGTCAGGTGGACAGGCCGTTTGCTGCGTGCTGTTTCAGGGGGATTAAATTTAGCCCCGAGGCTGTCGTTTCCTCAATGTCTAGATGACACGGTGTGCACCAGCCCTATTTTCAGGCTCCTTACGTCTCCGCATGGGACTCTGGAGCGGGGAAAGGAGGAGGAGGAGGAGTGCCGGGAAGGCTCGCGATGCCCCAGGAACATGGGCACAAGGAAGACCTGCCCAGATGAGCAGCTCTGCGCTCCGATAGCAGCACTTTTTTCCATTAAACAGCATTGCCACCTCCGATGAGCTCTTTTAGTGACACGTCTAGATTATCTGTGACAGCAGGGGCAGCTGGCGGGGTCATCGAGCGGCTACGCGCCAAAAGCGATGGCAAATCTCGTGCAAAGCCCCTGCACACAAGTACGTGAAAGGAGGAGCCTGTGTGGAGCATTCCCGGGCAGTCCTCTGTGTTTCAACAACACGGATGGTCTCTACATCATTCCCTCATGGCACCATTGTGTTTGGGGATGCCATTTAGGGCCAAACGGTCTTCTGAAGGCAGAACACCCTTTACCCAGGCACAAAGTCTTACAAAGGCTGTGGAAAGACCAAGTCTACACGTTGTGGAGGAACATGAGGAGAACATGAGACCTCTAAATAAGACAGACAGGAAGGGAGCCACACCAGGACAGGCCTCTGCCTGTACCTCGAATGGTGCTGGGGACACGCTGGAGCTAAGATGCCACCCAGGTGTAGCACCTCTACTACTTTGTTGCCAGCCTACACCCACCCATGGCCAAAGTCTGGCTG